GGCATCTGAAATAGCTCAACAGAATCCCCCAACACAACCCACCCACCCGTCCTGTAATGCCAGCCTGTCCATTAGAAGTGAACATCCACTCGTCCTCCGCCTTTCAACCACCTTCCCCCCCCCCCCCCCCTTCCCCCTCGCTCACCTTTTCACTGGAAGTAGCCTGCTCTACACTCCTATCGGCATGCAGCTACAGGAACCAGGGAAACTGCAGGGAGTACAACCTCGTTCCCTCCTCAGCCCAACCCCAAGATCCCCTCTCTCTGGTGCTCACCAGTTTGCGGAAGTAGCTTGTTCTGCACTCCTATCATCTCGCAACCGAAACTTTCATCCCCCCTCCCTTCCCCCCTCCGCCACCCTTTTCCCCTTGTGCTCACCTGTTCGCTGGAAGTAGCCTGCTCAGCGCTCTTGTCATCTCCCAGCCATACTAGTTTCCCCCACTCCTCAAACCCCCTCAAACCCCGTCTCTACCCCCCCATCCCCAAGCTCACCTGTTCGCTGGAAGTGGCCTGCTCCGCGCTCTTATCATCTCGCAGCCTCAGGAACCGGGGGAAGCGCAGAGCGATTCCTTTCGTCTCATTCACGTGCCCGGTTGCCGCCCGGTGCACGGGACTAATGGACAAATCCGCCGCCCGCACCTCCCACACCTCTGACGGCTCGAACCACACTTCCACTCCTAGCGTCTCCCCATACGATAGTAGGGCTGGGTGTGGGGGGGAGAGAACGGGTTTGGAGTAAGAAAGGGAAGCAGTGGGGGATACACAAACACCACAATATGCCACTCAGACAGCATTGAGTGAGAAAGGTGTTGCAATGATGGGCACGGTACTGCACCACACCACACAACACCCCATCCCACCACTTCCAACCACACCCGACACCATGCCACCCCACCATACCCCACACCGCCCCACCCACCACTGCACTCACAGGCGGCTTGTCAATGACTCGCTTGCGCAGCGATGCGGATCGCTCCTCCAGCGCTGCTTCGGAGAAGCCGGTGCCGATCTTGCAGATGGACTGGTACTCCTCCGTGTCAGGGTCGTAGCACGCCAGGAGGAACGCCCCGAAGACACCTGTTGAGGAGGACATGATAGATGTTGTTACACAAGGGAACTGGATCTGAATGTCGCCTTGCAGATGGACTGGTACTCCTCCGTGTCGGGGTCGTAGCACGCCAGGAGGAAGACTCCCAACACACCTGTTGAATCAAATGCAATCACGGCAGAAATAGCACGACTTCCAAGGGTTTTTTGCACATTAACATACGGCTTTGCTGTGAGACAGAGACAAAGGGGTTGCACAGAGAAAACCGTTGTTCCAGCCCCAAGAGCAGTGGATTTCGTTCAGCAGCAAGCCTTTCAGGCCCAACCCTCCATCATCCCAATGTGTCACCTGCAAAGTTGCAAACCCATCCCATGACCCAGTGTCCTATGCTACTCTCCACCCCTCCCCTCACCTGTTCGTTTGCCACGGCCATGGAACGCCCCGATTGGCACAAGGTCCAAGGAGTCGCCCAGCCTGATTGGGAGGCAGCAGAGGCATGACGGGGGGGGGGGGGGGGGCGGGGAGCAGGGGTGAAACGGGAGTGAGGGTAGTGGGGGATCATGAGGCACCTCGTGGAACGCCCCGATGAGCACAAGGTCCAAGGAGTCGCCCAGCCTGATTGGGAGGGAGTTTGGGAGAAGAGAGAACAGAGTGAAGAGATTGAGGGAGCAGAGAGAACAGAGTGACGAGAGTGAGGGAGACGAGAGAACAGAGTGACGAGAGTGAGGGAGACGAGAGAACAGAGTGACGAGAGTGAGGGCGACGAGAGAACAGAGTGACGAGAGTGAGGGAGACGAGAGAACAGAGTGACGAGAGTGAGGGCGACGAGAGAACAGAGTGACGAGAGTGAGGGAGACCAGAGAACAGAGTGAAGAGAGTGAGGGAGCAGAGAGAAAAGAGTGAAGAGAGTGAGGGAGCAGAGAGAACAGAGTGAAGAGAGTGAGGGAGCAGAGAGAACAGAGTGAAGAGAGTGAGGGACCAGAGAGAACAGAGTGAACAGAGTGAGGGAGCAGAGAGAACAGAGTGAAGAGAGTGAGGGAACAGAGAGAACAGAGTGAAGAGAGTGAGGGAGCAGAGAGAACAGAGTGAACAGAGTGAGGGAGAAGGGCGAGCGTGAAAACAGAGTGAGGGAGAAGAGTCAGTGTGAGAACGGAAGGGTGAAGAGTGAGGGTGAGAACGGAGCGAGGAAGAAGAGTCAGAGTGAGGGTGAGAACGGAGCGAGGAAGAGGGTCAGAGTGAGGGTGAGAACGGAGCGAGGGAGAGAAGAGTAGAGAGAGAGAGAGAGTCACACACAATCTAGCCAGGCCCCACCCTTCAACGTAGTCCTTTCTGAGCAACACGCATCCTCATCCTCAGCACTGGGAGACCCACCCCAACCGTCCTTTGCTTCCTGCCCTGCCCCATCCCCCCCTTCCATAATCAAGTCCTTCAAGTCCTTCTTGATCTCGAGCCAGTCTTTGCTCCTCTTGGCGGCTCATACGTCAACCAAGCACCACACACAAGCACTCACAGTCCTACCCACCGCACCACCACACGCACGACCCATCCCCACCACACCACCACACGCACGACCCATCCCCACCACACCACCACACGCACGACCCATCCCCACCACACCACCACACACACGACCCATCCCCACCGCACCCTTCCATGTAGTCCTTCTTGAGCTTGAGCCAGTTGTTGCTCCTCTTGGCCGGCTCGTATGTGGCATCCACGTCCAGGGTCTTCACCATGGCGCCCTCGCAGCTGCCACAGGGGAAGAGAAAGGGGAGCAGGAAGGGGGGGGGGGGAGGTAAGCGGCACGGAGACAAGTCACCATGCACAAGGAGGAACAGCTCGTATGGAAGCAGGGGAAAGCGGGAAGAGGAGAAAAAGGGAGAAGAAGGGGAAAGGGAGGTGGGGGAGGAAGGGAGTGGAATGAAAATTATGGCCTGCAAAATCGAGGGTACAAGCTCAGCTCAGCTGCCTCCACAACCAGCGGCTTCACTGTCCCGCCCTCTCCCCTTTAAACCCCTCTAATCCCAGCAGCACCCCACCTGTGGTTGACAGCGTCGTCAAAGAACGCCTGCAGCTCCTCCTCCTTGCTGGTCGTGATGGCCGTCGCGAACTGGAACTCGCCCTTGGCCGCCTCAAACGACTCCAGCAGCAGCTGCAGGGGGGGAGAGAAGCGAGGAGACGTCACGAGTACAGGAGAACACGGAGAGCAGGCTTCATTCAAGGGCTTCAAACGACCTTGCTCAAGTCAAACGAAACTGAGACTCGCCCTTGACCGGCTCAAACGACTCCAGCAGCAGCTGAAGCAACACGGCGAAGGAAGGAAGGGTGAGTCAGGAGAGGAGCACGATCTTTGTTCCATTGGCCTGGAGTTTTCTTCAGATTCTCTCAAAACTCGCTCACAAAGGCCTCGAGTGCCGTGTTGTTGCAATGCCTCAAGTAGTGAAGAGAACGCCGTGGTAACAGTAACGGACCCAAACGAAACAAAAGCAGCAATCCTGGACTACCCTGCCCTGCCATGTCGTGCCTCACCTCTCTCCGCCGCACGAGCTTCTCTGTGAGCAGCTGCTGGCGAGATGACTTTTGAGTCGACTCAAAAGTCATCCTGTCCTGCCGTGCCTCACCTCTCTGTGGTGCCTCACCTCTCTGCCGTGCCCTCACCTCTCTCCGCCGCACGAGCTTCTCTGTGAGCAGCTGCTGGGCCGTTGAGGTAGAGCAGACGAATGCGAACATGCACACCTGGTGTGGGAGAAGATGGGGAGGGGGAGAAGAAGAGGAGGACTGAGATGCCTCAGAAATGCCTCCTTTAGCTGGTCATCGTTGAGGTAGAGCAGATCAAATGCGAACATGCACACCTGGTGTGGGAGAAGATGGGGAGGGGAAGAGGGGAGGGAGCAGAGTGAGTGCGGCCAAGAACAGAAAGATCATTTGAGCAGGTATAATCGGAGCACACACACACACACACACACACAACACACACACACACACACACACACACACACACACCACACACACACATCGCACCCACCCACCTGCACTTTAATGTCGCTCATGATGACGCCCTTCCGCGCCGCGTGCTTAGCACCTGGAAGGGCAGAATCTTGTCGCTCTCCCTGTCGTACGCCACTGCTTCTGCATCCAATACAAACGTCTGCACGTGACTTTTCTTGTGCCTGCAAGTAAGGAAGAGGGGAAACAGAGGAGAACTAAGCAACCGGAACGGCAGAATCTTGTCTCTCCTCCTGTCATACGCCACTGCCCTCTGCATCCAACATAAACGTGGGCCCTTCTTGTGCCTGCACATGGGGAGAGGGGAATTCGGGGAGAGCGAATTTCGGGTTCTGAGACGTGAGCACCTGGAAGGGCAGGATCTTGTCGCTCTCCCTGTCATGTGCACTGCCTCCGCATCCAACACAAATGTCTTAACGTGGTCTTTCTTGTGCCTGCGAGTGCAGGAATGCGAGGTGACTGGTCTATCCCTGTTGTGTGCCACTGCCTCTGCACCCAGCTTCTGCCTCTGCCAAACTTGTGCACATGGGCCTTCTTGTGCCTGCGAGTGCGGGAATGCGAGGTGACTGGGCTATCCCTGTTGTATGCCACTGCCTCTGCACCCAGCACAAACTTGTGCACATGGGCCTTCTGTGCCTGCGAGTGTGGGAGGGGCCGTGGGGAGGAAGGGGGCTTGGTGAAGGGGAGGTTTTGAGACGCCTCTATACTGCGTCCAGCACAAACATCTCCACTTGGGCCTTGTTGTGCCTGTGAGTTAGGGAGCAAGTGCGGGGCGAGTTTCCAGTCAACTCAAGAGTCACTGCGGACTCCCTGCCGTACGCCACAGCCACCCTGTCGCTCTCCCTGTCGTACACCACTGCCTCTACATCCAGCACAAAGGTCTTCACGTAAACCTTCTTGCGCATGCCAGTAAGGGAGAGGGGAAACGGGGGAGAAGAGGGGTTTTGAGACGTGATCACCTGCACGAGAGGGCGATTAGTTAACCTTCTTGGAACCTCTTAACACCCAACTGATTACGAGCTGTACCGTTTCTTTCGTTGCTCCGACAGAGAAAGAAAAACACACAACACACCACACACACACACACGCACCACACACACACACACACGCACACACACGCACGCACACACACGCACACACACACACCCTTACTGACTGCGTGCTTGACCGACTTACTTCTGAACAGCCTGTACGAGGTCGGGGAACTTGCCAGTGGTGCACTCCGCATTGCGGCTGTAGATCTGCACTGTGCCGTCCGCTAGCCCATGCACCTGCCAGGGACGTGGGGCATGAGAGCATTGATGTTGGTTGGCATGGGCTGGGCTGGGCCATGGGGTGACGTTCGCATCGGGCATGGGTGGGCGGCAAGGGAGATGGAAATTTGTATGAGACCCCTCCCATCCAGATTTGACTACCATGAGAACAGGACCCCAGCAGCTCACTCTCACCTGTGGTGACTTTTGAGTCGACTCAAAAGTTACCATGAGAACAGGACCCCAGCAGCTCACTCTCACCTGTGTTCTCACTCTCACCTGTGTTCTCACTCTCACCTGTGTTCTCACTCTCACCTGTGTTCTCACTCTCACCTGTGTTCTCACTCTCACCTGTGTTCTCACTCTCACCTGTGTTCTCACTCTCACCTGTGTTCCTCACGTCTCACCTGTGTTCTCACCTCTCACCTGTGTTCTCACTCTCACCTGTGTTCTCACTCTCACCTGTGTTCTCACTCTCACCTGTGTTCTCACTCTCACCTGTGTTCTCACTCTCACCTGTGTTCTCACTCTCACCTGTGTTCTCACTCTCACCTGTGTTCTCACTCTCACCTGTGTTCTCACTCTCACCCTGTGTTCTCACTCTTCGCCTGTGTCTCACTCTCAGCCTGTGTGCTCACTCATCCTACTCCAACTCGCATGTGAACGTAAGCGCCTGCAGCTAGTCCAATATCTCCAATACGCCCCTGGAGCCCCCTCTTCACATCTTTACTAGAATTCCACGCGCCTAAACGCACCGTCCTCGGTTCTCACGTTTCACTCACCTGTGTGCGCTCCCCATCGTACTTATACTCGCACGTGAACGTCAGCCCCTGCAGCTTGCCCAAGCACACCCACTCACATGCAATATGCATACTCCCATCCCAATCATCGCCCTCATCTCACCTGCGTCCTCTCCCATCGTACTTATACTCGCACGTGAACGTCAGCCCCTGCAGCTTGTCCAGAATCTCCGATATCCCCCGTGTGGGCTTCGCCAGCATGGGCCCCCACCGGCACTCCCAAGGTGAACTGACACGCCTCGGGAACGGCCCCATATGCCGTCTCTTAATAGGGATGGAAACAACTGGTCGTAAACTGGGAGGACTGAGTACGCATGCTTCATGATGCGCACTGCCTGGGGTCGGGGGAAAGGGCGGGGATGGAGTGGGGGATGGGGCAATCGGGAGTAAAGTGGGAGATTGGGGAATGGGGCGGTCGGGGGGAGTGCGGGATGTGTGGGTTGAGCGGCCAGCATGGGCCCCATCGGCACTCCCAAGGTGAACTGGCACGGCTAACTGACACTCACCTCTTCTAGTCTTCCCGGCAGTCGAGCCAGTTTTTCCCTCTTTGAAAGCACCTTTCCCTCCTTGACTCTCCTTCCCCGGCCATTTTTCCTCAACCTCTCCCTCCGTCCCCCCATCCCCTCCTCTCCCAACTGCCGCAGCAGCCCCATCCCCAACCTCCTTATTGCCCCATCCTTATCGTCACCACCCGCACCACCACCACCAGCACCAGCAGCACCAGCAGCAGCAGCGGCAGCATCACCAGCAGCAACACCGGTGCCCTCTCGGAAGTCCTCGTGCATGACAGCAGCCTGAGCCAGGGCGGCGAGCACCGTCTGTTCTGCGAGGCCGCATGCGCATCTTGCCCTGCAGCAGGCGCACTATGAACTGCGGCTCCCTGCTGCCGCGCCGACACCAGCAGCTGCTTTATCCGCGCCCGCTTCTTCTCCACACTCTGACTGCCTGACTCCTGAGGGAGGGAAGTTAGGGGGTGGTAGAGGCAGGGAAGGCAGCGCACACAGACACAGTCACACAGAAGGAGACGTATGGGCCGGAGGCGTTGGGGGAATGCGGGGGTGATAAACCGTAAGGTTTCACTCACCACGAGTAGCCAGATTTACTCACCTTGGCGATGAATCGGAAGGCTTCAAAGACCTTGTGGCACGTGAGTGGCGCCGGCTGCATCATCATGCGCTGCGTGGTGCGGCTGGCCTTCGCCACCAGCCCCAGGTCGCCACACTCCTGCAGAAACAAGTAGGATGAAAAAAAAAAAAAAAAAACTAGGGATTGAAAATCTCAGACTACAAGGCTCAAAGGTTTGAATGTCAAGGTACACAGGGGCTGTGACATCTCGAAAGTTCCGTTACGTATTAAGGATAAAGCCATGTAAGAGGCATGACGGCAATGTGGCTGCACTACTGTGACACAACCATGCTTCTATCCATGAACCAGCACATTTCTTACAGTCCCTCTCTCCACCCCCTTGCACCACAGTTCATTCATTCCCATCTCACATAACGTCTACGCCGATTCCACCACCACCTCTTACCTCTTCACGGCCTCAGCCAGAGAGCACGTACGATCTCTGGCCTCTTGCTTGCATCACATTTCACGCAGTCCCGTCTCACTTTCCTTATGCTCCGACTTAACCACTGCCTCTTTCCTCCCCGTCACCTCGGCCAGAGCGCAACAAACAGTGGCGTCACCAGTTCATTCGTTCTCATCGTACCAACCTTGCACTCTGATTTCACCACCGCCTCTTTCCTTCTAATCACCTCAGCCAGAGCATGGCATGGATGATAGTCACATCGCCGAACCCCTCCATAAATCTGAGACGCTTTTGAGAATTCTCAAAGCGCCGAACGCCTCCCCCGGCTCTTGCTTGCATCATACTTCATTCATTCAATCCCAACTCACGTACCTTAGGGCGTGGAAGATCCCTACGAACATGTGTTTGGTTGCTCCTGTGGTCCAACATGTGTTTGGTTGCTCCTGTGGTCGAACATGTGTTTGGTTGCTCCTGAGGTCGAACATCTCGCCTTGTCCAATGGCTTGCGACATCTTTTGCCGGGTAACACAGGAAACCCCACATTGCAAATCAGAGAGGCTTTAACGTTTCGGAAGGGGCCTTGGTCGCTCTCAAGCGAATAGCTCTGAGTTTGTCAATCACTCGGAGCAAATTGGATTGCACCACATCACCCACGACAACACCTGGTTTCATGTCGCGTGATTCTTCTTACGTCGCCAATCTTGTCTTTTCCTCGTGGACCCAAAAACGTGGGGCAACAAGGGGGCACGGGCTCTGAAACGCTTTTGAGTCGACTCAAAAGTAAAAACGTGGGGCAACAAGGGGGCACGGGCTCTGAAACGTGAGTGCTTGTAGCAATTTTCGTCATTCTATTAGCGATGCTTATTGGCGAGAGTCGCAACCTGTGTTACTGTCGCAACTGCGCGACCAATGCCTTGTTCACAGGGATCTTCCACGCTCTTATACTTCGACTTAACCACCGCCTCCTTCCTCCCAGTCGCCTTAGCCAGAGCACGGATGATGGTCACATCGCCAACCCCCAGCCCCTTGTAGCACAACAGTTTGGCTGTTCTCATCGTACCTTCCTTTTACTCTGGATTTGATCGCGTACCTTGTACTCCGACTTAACCACCCGCCTCCTTCCTCCCGGTCGCCTCAGCCAGAGCGCGGATGATGGTCGCATCGCCAATCCCCAGCTCCACGCCCTCGTGAGGTGGCGCAACGCGATTGGCCGCCAGGTACACGATGGGCAGCAGGTCGTCTGGTGACGTGGCCATGACTGTGCGGAACACGTTGCACATGATCTCCGTGATCGCCAACCGTCCAGATTCGTTGGATATTCCTGGCACACGCAGGCAGGTTGGAGGTGTATTGTTGTAGAATCACAAAATACGCTGATTACTGTGCAGAGCATGTTGCACACCATGTCCAGATTCGTTGAATAATCCTCGTAATTCGTACATACAGCGGCGGATAGAGGAGCATGGAAGTCGACAGGTGAGTCAAGAAAAGAGGCTCAACCCACCACGCTAAACCTATAGCCTTTCTGTCCTCACACCATTTCAACCCAAAACCCCATACCCTGATTTCCACAACAATGTATGACCCATCACCCTCATTGTTCACCGTGCATAGACTCTACACTTACGTGCCCACAGCCAGCACGCACAGCCCACACGCACAGCCAACAGCACAGCCCACCACGCACAGCCACCACGCACAGCCCACCACGCACAGCCCACACGCACAGCCCACCACGCACAGCCCACACGCACAGCCCAGCACGCACAGCCCACACGCACAGCCACAGCCAGCACGCACAGCCCACCACGCACAGCCCAGCACGCACAGCCCACGCACAGCCCACACGCACAGCCACCACGCACAGCCCACCACGCACAGCCACCACGCACAGCCCAGCACGCACAGCCCACGCACAGCCCAGCACGCACAGCCCAGCAGGCACAGACCAGCACGCACAGCCCAGCACGCACAGCCCAGCCGCACAGCCAGCACGCACAGCCAGCACGCACAGCCCAGCACGCACAGCCCAGCACGCACAGCCCAGCACGCACAGCCCAGCACGCACAGCCAGCACGCACAGCCCACCACGCACAGCCCACCACGCACAGCCAGCACGCACAGCCCACACGCACAGCCCAGCACGCACAGCCCACCACGCACAGCCACCATGCACAGCCCACCACGCACAGCCCACCACGCACAGCCCACACGCACAGCCCACCACGCAGCCCAGCACGCACAGCCCACCACGCACAGCCCCACGCACAGCCCACCACGCACAGCCACCACGCCAGCCCACCACGCACAGCCCACCACGCACAGCCCACCACGCACAGCCACCACGCACAGCCCACCACGCACAGCCCACCACGCACAGCCCACCACGCACAGCCCAGCCGCACCCACCACGCACAGCCCAGCACGCACAGCCACACGCACAGCCCACCACGCACAGCCCACACGCAGAGCCCACACGCACAGCCACCACGCACAGCCCACCATGCACAGCCCACCACGCACAGCCCAGCACGCACAGCCCAGCACGCACAGCCCACCACGCACAGCCACCACGCACAGCCCAGCACGCACAGCCCACCACGCACAGCCCACCACGCACGCCCACCACGCACAGCCCCCACGCACAGCCCACCACGCACAGCCCACCACGCACAGCCCACCACGCACAGCCACCCGCACAGCCCACCACGCACAGCCCACCACGCACAGCCCACCACGCACAGCCCACCACGCACAGCCCACCACGCACAGCCCACCACGCACAGCCCAGCACGCACAGCCCAGCACGCACAGCCCACCACGCACAGCCCACCACGCACAGCCCACCACGCACAGCCACACGCACAGCCCACCACGCACAGCCCACCACGCACAGCCCACCACGCACAGCCCACCACGCACAGCCCACCACGCACAGCCCAGCACGCACAGCCCAGCACGCACAGCCCAGCACGCACAGCCCACCACGCACAGCCCACCACGCACAGCCCACCACGCACAGCCCACCACGCACAGCCCAGCACGCACAGCCCAGCACGCACAGCCCAGCCACGCACAGCCCACCACGCACAGCCCACCACGCACAGCCCACCACGCACAGCCCACCACGCACAGCCCACCACGCACAGCCCAGCACGCACAGCCCAGCACGCACAGCCCAGCACGCACAGCCCAGCACGCACAGCCCAGCACGCACAGCCCAGCACGCACAGCCCAGCACGCACAGCCCAGCACGCACAGCCCAGCACGCACAGCCACACGCACAGCCCACCACGCACAGCCCAGCACGCACAGCCCACCACGCACAGCCCACCACGCACAGCCCACCACGCACAGCCCACCACGCACAGCCCACCACGCACAGCCCACCACGCACAGCCCACCACGCACAGCCCACCACGCACAGCCCACCACGCACAGCCCACCACGCACAGCCCACCACGCACAGCCCACCACGCACAGCCCAGCACGCACAGCCCAGCACGCACAGCCCAGCACGCACAGCCCACCACGCACAGCCCAGCACGCACAGCCCACCACGCACAGCCCACCACGCACAGCCCACCACGCACAGCCCACCACGCACAGCCCACCACGCACAGCCCACCACGCACAGCCCACCACGCACAGCCCACCACGCACAGCCCACCACGCACAGCCCACCACGCACAGCCCACCACGCACAGCCCAGCACGCACAGCCCAGCCAAACAGCCCACCACGCACAGCCCACCACGCACAGCCCACCACGCACAGCCCACCACGCACAGCCCACCACGCACTGCCCACCACGCACAGCCACCACGCACAGCCCACCACGCACAGCCCACCACGCACAGCCCACCACGCACAGCCCACCACGCACAGCCCACCACGCACAGCCCACCACGCACAGCCCACCACGCACAGCCCACCACGCACAGCCCAGCACGCACAGCCCAGCACGCACAGCCACCACGCACAGCCCACCACGCACAGCCCAGCACGCACAGCCCACCACGCACAGCCCACCACGCACAGCCCACCACGCACAGCCCACCACGCACAGCCAGCACGCACAGCCCACACAGCACGCACAGCACCACGCACAGCCCACCACGCACAGCCCACCACGCACAGCCCACACGCACAGCCCAGCACGCACAGCCCACACGCACAGCCCACACGCACAGCCCACCACGCACAGCCCACCACGCACAGCCACACGCACAGCCCAGCACGCACAGCCCACCACGCACAGCCCACCACGCACAGCCCACCACGCACAGCCCACCACGCACAGCCCACCACGCACAGCCCACCACGCACAGCCCACCACGCACAGCCCACCACGCACAGCCCACCACGCACAGCCCACCACGCACAGCCCAGCACGCACAGCCCACCACGCACAGCCCACCACGCACAGCCCACCACGCACAGCCCACCACGCACAGCCCACACGCACAGCCCACACGCACAGCCCAGCACGCACAGCCCACCACGCACAGCCCACCACGCACAGCCCACCACGCACAGCCCACCACGCACAGCCCACCACGCACAGCCCACCACGCACAGCCCACCACGCACAGCCCACCACACACAGCCCAGCACGCACAGCCCAGCACGCACAGCCCACCACGCACAGCCCAGCACGCACAGCCCAGCAGCACAGCCCAGCACGCACAGCCCGCAGCAGCAAGCCACAGCCCAGCACGCACAGCCCAGCACGCACAGCCCAGCACGCACAGCCCACCACGCACAGCCCACCACGCACAGCCCACCACGCACAGCCCACCACGCACAGCCCACCACGCACAGCCCACCACGCACAGCCCACCACGCACAGCCCACCACGCACAGCCCAGCACGCACAGCCCACCACGCACAGCCCACCACGCACAGCCCACCACGCACAGCCCACCACGCACAGCCCACCACGCACAGCCCACCACGCACAGCCCACCACGCACAGCCCACCACGCACAGCCCACCACGCACAGCCCACCACGCACAGCCCACCACGCACAGCCCAGCACGCACAGCCCACCACGCACAGCCCACCACGCACAGCCCACCACGCACAGCCCACCACGCACAGCCCACCACGCACAGCCCACCACGCACAGCCCACCACGCACAGCCCAAAGCCCAAACCAACGTACTGTCAAGCGCCTGGGCGAGGTAGAGGAAGGGCACCCGCTCGCCGCTCTTCCAAGTGGCAGCTGCCACCGGATCATACTGCACCAGCTTCGCTGCCAGCGCCACCAACCCATCGCCTGCTCCTCCTCCTCCTGCGCCTCCTGCCCCGGCCCCTTTTCCCCTGTTTTTTCTCTTGGCTTTCGTTTCCGTGCGTCCCTTAGCTTGCTTTAGGGCGTCAAAGGCGGATTTTGCTTCCTCCGCTCCTGCGGCTGCGTCGACAGGTGGCTCTGCCAGGTCACTGCTGGCACTGTCCATGTCACTGTCCACGTCAGCACCGTCACTGGTGCTGCTGCTACTGGCGGATAATGCCGCACCCTTGCTGCCACTACTGCCGCTGCTGTCACTGCTGCTGCTGCTGCTGCTTCTGCTGCTGGTCCTGCGACGAGTGCTCTTTTTCTTCCCTCCCTCAGCTGCTAACTCAGCCGTGGCCACAGCAGCAGCAGCAGGTGCGTCAGTTGCTGCTTTACTAGCTGTATCTGCTGCTTTACTAGCTGTATCTGCTGCTTTCTTCCTTCCTCTGGCACCAGGTGGCGACTTCGGTGTGACGGCAGGAGTGGAAGCCCCTTTACCAGCCGCAGCAGCAGCAGCAGCGACAGCAGACGCAGAAGCTTTGGCAGCGGAAGCAGAAGCAGCAGCAGCAACGGTGGCGGCGGCAGCTGCAGCAGCGGATTCCTTCCCCCTTATCGCCTCCTTCAACCCCGATACTCCCCGTCTCATGCCTTGCCTTCTTTGCACCTTCTCCCACCTCCCCTGTCCCTCCACCCACCGCCACAATCTCTTCTCCTTCACCTGCCCCTTCCTCTCTTCCTTTCCCCGCTCCCCGCGCCCCCTCCCCAACCTTCCTAAGCCGC